TTTTATTTTTCCTAAGCTTCCTTATTATCAGTAGACGTGACACCCACGCATCGATATGCTGTTTTACAAAAAAATACATATATTAGTGAATTACATTAATTTTTAAAAAAATTAATCAAAATCATATATAAGACAAATATAATACTTACCTCACCATCGAAATATCCACTTTCTTCAACCCCTAATAGCACACCCCACCAAGACCGATCAAGCAACAAAAACATTTCATCGTTGAGTTTGCTTATGCCAGTGTAACACCCTTGGCTCCGCTCATGTAGATAAAAATCAACTGCGGTCTTAGCCCAAAGGGTATTATCCACAATTGTTTCCGGTAGTTGTCTCCTCTCCACTTCAGATACCGGAAGGGTACTAGCCGGTAACTCATACGAGAGCCAACTCTCATCCATCATGTCCGGAACCGGTGGGGGTTTCTCAATACTTCGATATATTACCCCATGTGAATCGGGCTCTGGAATGGTGAGAGGGACCTCTTCAACGATGACAGTGGCCTCTTGAACGGTGGGGGGGACTCTTGAGGGAGGATAGGGGCCTCTTGAACGATTGGAGGGGACTCTTGAGGGATGACAGGTGAGTCGGGCTTCTTCTTGCGGAGTCTTCGCACCATTGGGGTGAACGGAGACGTAATAGCACGTCCACACCGTCTGATGTGTGAACTCCGTCGTGCAAGGAAAACCTGACGTAAAGCATCCACCTTATCGGGCCGCTAAAAAAAATTAATACATAAATCAGTAAATAAACAGACATTATATTAAACAAAGACAAATATGTTTCAAACTAGCATTGTATTCACCCAAGTCATTATTCTATCATAGTTCACAAAATGCTCAGATAACATTCCAGAAGTAAGCACTTATATAAACATTTAAAAAGACAACATATATAAACATTTCAGAAGAAGAATAGTTTACTTTCGCAGCACGAAACTTAAAATCGCAACGCGAAAATGACTATCGCAACGCGGAAATGGCTATCGCAATGCGAAATGAAAATCGCAACGATAAAATCACAATGCGAAATGAAAATCGCATCGACAAAATCGCAATGCGAAATGAAATCGCAACGACAAAATCGCAATGTGAAACACAAATCGCATTGCGATTTTCATTTCGCGTTGCGATTTTGTCGTTGCGATTTCATTTCGCATTGCGATTTTGTCGTTGTGATTTTCATTTCGCATTGCGATAGCCATTTCCGCGTTGCGATAGTCATTTTCGTGTTGCTCAAGTAAACTATTCTTCTTCTGCAAATTGAAACTTGAATGGATTGCATTACTTCAACCAAAAGACAAAAACAAAACCAAAAACAAATACTAACAAAAACAGTTTAGCAGTATTGGCAGCAACCGAATGAATTACGAGTATGAAAAATCTTAAACTTACCTCGTTGCGTAGAGTATAAACCTCATTCTACAACGATGCTACCATCTCACGTAGAGCGGCTACCTCACCGCGTAATGTAGACACCTCAACACGCCATGCACCATCGTCTTTGCGTAAAGTACTGACCTCCTCACGCAAGGCATTGACCTCATCACGTAACTCCCCTAACTCATCCCGTTGAGGTGGAGGTGGAGAACAGGGAGATAAACGTCGTGGCATCTTTGCCGGTCGCCTATCTTGCGGTGATGGTGGAGAAGAGGCTCGATGATGTGACAGAATAGGTGATGGCTGTCGTTGTGGAGGTGTATAGTCGGGTCGATCAGATGATGGCTCTGGGTGAGGTGATAGCTCTGGGCGAGGTGATGGCTCCCAAAGTGGAGGCTGCTCATTAACTGTTCCATCAAAAAAACGCTTACTAGCTTGCCACCAATCAGTGGCAAGCTCAGCTTCCGTGGGTGTCAGCCTCTGTAGAGGAGTGTTGGCCTCCTAACAATATAAAAGCTCAAACAAAGTTAAACGTGTACTAGTAATAACTTGTTTATAAACATATGGTAGTATTTATGTTAACTTACATTATTTATTGTCTTATACCGTAGTAAATCTTCCCATTGCAAGGTTCGTTTCCTCTCCAGGAAATAACCCTGGGAATATCATTTGAAGTTTTTATTGCATATGTCTTCATGGCGGGAAAGGCCTCAAATATCCAAATCTACAAACAATATAATAAAAAACATTAGTAATTGTTAAATAATTACTTATAATTTTGGAAACATTATATAAAAATTCTTACCTTAAAGGCCCAAATAAAGCCTGTCAAAGTGTATTTGGAACCATCTCCATGCAAACTTTTTCGATCATCCAAGGCAGACGATAACTTATTCCATGTAGCTTTCCATAAATACGAGCCCCACGGAAACAGGTTCCACGCATTTAGGTCTTCTACCAATTTGATTAGATCATTTGGAATAGGTTGTCTGGCCTCTCTGCCTAAAAAGCCGGCATGCAAAAGAATTAGAAGGCATACTCGGACAACGTCGACATCATCCATCCGAGTAAAACCATCTTTCTTATTCAACAATCTTGTCAGGTCTTCTACGTGTAGATTCGGCCTCTCCAACTCAAGAAAAACCCGGGATAGCCATGATGGGCGGGTAATGTGTCTAGTGTACTGACCTACATCATCGTGTCCGAAGCGTAGACCGGTGATTAAGCAAACTCCTCCCGCCCAAAACACGTATACGCCGGTGGAAAATCAAACCATATCTCTTCATCACGACGTTGTATAGTCTCTGGTAGATCGCTAGTCATGGTTTGAAGAAACAGGTGTGTCAACATCATCTCCACCGGGATGTTGTACTTTCAGCCATGGCCCGAAGCATGTATCCTCAAACATTTTCTTTGTGCAGGTGAAAGCTTCGACGCAATTGTTTTGGCCAGGCTGACTTATTTCTTAAGGTCAATTGAGCCGAATAAAAGTTCTAAAAACAATAAACATACTAAGTTAGATATACCAAAAACTACACTGTGAAGATACCAAAAAAATAATAAACATAAAGAGTAGTAGTTTATTCTTCAAACTTAAATTTGCAACACTGTGAATTTCGTATTTGTCTTTGTTTTTTGGTTGAAGTAATGCAATTCATTCAAGTTTCAATTTGCAGAAGAAGAATAGTTTCTGAAAATGAAAATCTCAACACGAAAATGACTATCGCAACGCGAATTTGACTATCGCAACGAGAGAATCGCAACGCGAAACTAAAATCGCGTTGCGATTTGCATTTCACGTTGCGATTCTCGGTTGATTTAATAAGAAATCTAAGTGAAATGGTTAATCTATTATTGAAATTACCAGTAAACTTATCATCAATTTCAATATGAAAAACCTAATAATAATGCAAAAATTTCAAAAAGAAAATAATTAAAAAAACTAACCCTCGTTGGTTGATTTGGTTGATTTTCCATTTCTGATTGTGAGGGTGGCTCTGAGAGATGGAGATAGACGGATTACGGGATATACTGTGGACGGTTCAGTGTTCCAATAATTAAAAAAACTAACCCTCGTTGGGTGAGAGAGTGAGAGATGGAGATGGGACTGAGTTGTGATTTTAGGTTTTAGGTTATGAGTTGCGATTACGGGATATACTGTGGACGGTTCAGTGTTCCAATATATTAATATTCGTGTTTGGAATTTAAAAATAAAATACTTGGCCAGGATACTAATGGCGCTTTGAAAATCGCATTGCGATTATGTATTATCACGTTGCGAAAGTCAGAATCACGTTGCGAAAGTCAGTATCTCGTTGCGATTTTGTATTATCGCATTGCGATAGTAAGTATCGCATTGCGATAGTCAGTATCGCATTGTGATTTTCCCAATTCGCGTTGCGATTTACTTATTCGCATTGCGAATTGGGACCATCGCAACGACACTGTAGACCATCGCAACACGATTTTCAACTATCGCAAAGCGAAATGCAACGCGAATTTGCGATAATGGAGATCGCGTTGCGAATTAGCGATCGCATTACGATTTTGTTGGTCATTTTGGCAAATCCAAAAAAAGTTGGTTAAAATCGTATATTATATGGGAATTTTGGTCACTGAGGCGATTTTCTCTTATTTAAATTACTATTTAAAAATAGCCTCCAGGATTTTTAAATTATTTAAAAATCTTATATAATCTTTAACCTTAAATATTTACATATAAAAAATACTATTAAATTATAATTCATTACAAAATATTAATACGTTTAAAATATTACCTAATTAGATTTAAACATAATTGCATATAATTATACAATTATTACATGTTTAATCAAATATTATAATTTATTCCATTAATTATTATATTTGAAGTAAAAATATTTATAAGTTAGGTAATTATAAGTAAACCAAAATCCAATATAATTTATATAACTTTCCAGACACACCCTTAAAACTCATCAAAATTCATCTGTGCGAAACTCTCCAATTTATCCCCAAAAAAAACTGATCTTCCAATATGATCCAATTTGAACTGAAAAATAAAATCCAATAACCAAAATAAAAGAATAAGCTCAGTTCAGTTCAAAAAATGCATATCGACCCCAACGAAGTTGATCACTTTAGGGCAGCTTATATAATGTAAACATGAAATTTACGTGGCAGAGAGGAGATTCTTATTAATCCCGAGTCATCCCTCCACCAAGCTCAGCTCCACGTTGCACAAATAAAACCCTGACTAAAACTACACATGCATGCATAAAACGAGTGGGAGAAGATGATAATTACCGGCGAATCTCATCCACTTGAGCTAAGTAATCTATGCAAAACATGCAGAGTTAGATTCTAAAAAATCATGTTTCATAAAAGTAACTGATATTATTCAGGAGAACCAGTCCATTACAAAAGAGAGCTCTAAGTTTTAAGGATATTAATGCTACACGGAAATAAAAACTCAAGCCCAAAGTAGCTGTCAGAAAACCGATATCAATCACCGGATAAGTTCCCTTCGCATGGCTGGAACAATTCCTTCCAATAATCAAAACCTGCAGACCTGCAAAGATGCAATTATGTGACACTTCTTTACCATTATCTAACATACAGACCACCGACCGATAGAACAACCTGATCTCTACTGCTTGATGTTTTTGCCCTCTGCTGCTGGCTTTGCTGCAACTTGTTCATATGACAAAGGCAAATAGTAGATCCGGGGAGTTGCTTTGGTTTTCCGAAACAAATCATCTAGAGTGACAATAGGAGGATCTATTTTCTTGGGAGGTGGAGACAGAGGTGGTGGTGGCGATGGAAGCACAGAAATTGGCGAAAGCTGCTGTCTAGAAATATGTTGACGAGGTGAAGGTTGAGACTAAGAAACATTTATTTAATAAATTAGAAGAAAAAAATAGCATTAAATCTTGAAATAATGCTATTTTATTAAAAAAGTATAACTACTGCATTATTTTATTAAAAAGTATGATTATTTTTTGAATATATAAAAGTATATGTACACCAAACTACGTAGTTTTGATAGGTTTAAGGTAAGCTCAATCTAATATATATATATATATATTGCTTTTATGGTTTATCTCTTGCCGTCATCAAGAGTCTTGTTTCAAGGTAACTCTTTTTTTTAGTTTCATCTAAATTTCTTACTGAACTCTCAAATTTTTTTTACAACAAAGGATTGTGTATTCCTTGGAACAATTAGAATCGATGCTTCTGCTTATATCTAACTTTTGATTCCCAATTTCTAATATCAACTGCATTTGCTTTATTTCCGAAGGGCATTTTTTTTGTATTTTGGTTTACTGCTATCTCGTATCATCATGTCCTAATCTGGAGCATATCCTTCTTCGGAAGACTCGGACTCAAACTTCTGATTTGGTAGTCGTTGATAATAAGGATGCATTTGTTCAACGTATTAAGAAGCAGAGGAAACGATCAGAAATTCATGATGCTTGGTATCAATCAAAAAATGTTATCTTCAATTTTCTTTATATCTCTGCAAGAAATGCAGTAAGTGTGCAACTGCTCTATTAGCCGGAGAAACAGGTCTCGATGTAGACATTAATGCCCTTCATCCTGTGTTTGGTTCAACTCCACTGCATTTTACATCAGGTCCTCCTGAGTAGATCAACTTATATATTCGCAATGGAGCTCGGACTGACATCAGACATAAGGGCATGTTACCTTTAAACAAATTTCTTGACTACATAAGGTATTGGTTTGGAATTTTTCTACTTGGTTAATTGCTCTATTGATCTATTACATATAGAGCAGGGTTGGGAAGTAGTGTATTAATTATCTATTTTCATTTATGTTTGCATGTTGTTTTCTATTGCAGAAGGGGATATGAAAATGTTGATTGGTCTTCAAGACAATCTATCTGCATGTTGGTTGTTTTTTTGTGCTTAGATATGGTCGGTAATTATCTATGAACTCTTATATATTGCATTTTCTTTGAATATATATCCTAGATTTCTATTATTGTATTAGTTGTTTGTGTTGTATCAATGTCAGGAAAAGTTGGAGTCTCTTAGGTTTCTTTTTGAGAACACAAAAGAGGTTGAAAAAGAAGTATACACTACATGAAGGGCGGAAAATTTGTTGAGACAACTGCCTTATTGATGATAGCTCGAGAAGAAATTACATCACCATTCTTTTCAAGGATTTTACTTCGAGTGGGAGCACGTCCCTTCTCCAATTGGTTTTGTTAGAGATAGAATCACTAAAAGCATCACAAATGAAACTAGATTCTACTAGTAAGGAGATACATGAGCTGAAGAATAAGTTGGAAACAATGAATTCTATGTTACACTTGATTAAGTTCTTCAAAGTGTTGGTCCTGAAATTGACCAATATCGTCAAGACCTACTAAGGTGTGTTTTCCTTGATGTTCTTGATCACTTTCTACTTATCGTTGAGTTTCTTCTGTTGGGTAAACAGTGTCTTTTGGTTTAATTGTTGCCGATAATCATTTACAGTTGAGCATGGAAGAATTGGCTACAAAAGTGGCATACCTGCTTATCAGCAAAGGATTGTTGAATATGAGCACTTGAAACGGTTTGAAATTCTGCTTTGTCTATGCTGCCTACCACCTTCTGCTTGCATTTGTCACATATTTAGAAATTAAAAGAAAAACTTTAATTTGGCCTCCTGCCTTAAATAATATACAATTTTCATTTTAGTTTCATATCAGTTTCAGAAGAGACATTGCCGACATCCCATCAGCACTTTCTGAAATCATTAGGTAATTGCTTTATTTGTTGCTTGTTCTGTTACTGATTAGATTGTAAAGAAAACAATATGCAAGATCTTTCTAACAGCATAGATTTTGTTTTAATGTAGGAAGTAAATTACATGGAGAAAATGAAGGCAGTCAGTTGGAAAGCAAAGATGTGGCGGACGCCGTGGTAAGAAAAATAAAGCTCACTGTGCTGATCAGTTTGTTGTTAATATGTTCATTATCTTTGAAAGCAATCAGTACTCCCTTTCAAAAACCTGAAATTGTGTTATATTGGTAAGTGAATTAAAATTTTGGTTCTGAGCATGAATGTTTTTAATGTCACTCGGCATTCTGTCGATGCAGCCCATATTTATTAATAATAATTCACATGTATTTATATCTCTTTTTTGCCTATGTTATGTGACCCCCATCATTTGATCACTCTAGCTTCTGAATCCCATTGCAACAGTTCCTCAAACATTTGTATACCGAGTTTTGAGGTAATTAGTTGGTATATACTCCTGTTGTTTTCTTCTTTTTGCTATTCTGCTAACAGCGTAGCGCAAAACGTTGGCTATGTCTGGATTTTGTAGTGATGACGAGGAAGATGTTGTGCAACCAACACCTTGATACTATTGGCGAAGAAACCAAAAAACTGGATTTGTTGATTTTATCTCAAATCATTAAAATTTTGTGTGAACTTTTATGGTTCTGTTTGATAAGTACCATTATAGTATATTTTGCCTGCTTGTCCGGTTGGTTCTCTTGATGTGAAATAACTTGTTAGTGAAGCTACTTTATGGGAAGCTAGTTCAATAAATACATAAACTTTAAAAGGTAGTCTTAAACTTTAAGAAGTTATCATCCATGCTTGACATATGCAACTCTGGTTGATCCAAATTATCAAGTAATGGAATTAATGCATCCAATGTAGTTTTTAGACTCAATTTGAGTTGTCTGAGGTTAATTGTTTATTGAGAAATATTGAATAGGTTCTGCAATTCAGAAGGCCCATGTAGTTCCATGTAAAAAACCTAACATACTGCGTTTGCTGTTTCTCTTGTTATTTATGCTGAATTATCTTGCAAGAAGCAAATGTAAAATGGATTTTCATTATATCATGTTTCACACCTTTGGCAACCTTGAATCTCCGTTGGTAGATGCCATAGAGAATCCAGAAATGAATCGTTGTCTTAGAATGAAAAATTGGCCTCCTACTTCTTGTCTTGTGGCCTTGATGCTTATCCTTCATGAATGAGTTGGTTGGGATGCTTGGATGGTTTAGTTGTTCAAATATGGCTCACATGATATTAATTGGTTTTGTGCTGTTCCTGTCCTGGAACATGTATTTATTTCCAGTGGATCTGTTGCAAGTTTGTCTTGAATTAATATTCCACTGCCACCAGGTCAATAACCTGCATTCTTAATGTGTTCTTCTCCAGGGAAATGGTGACCAGTCAGCAAGTCTAGTAAAAAATCAACATGCCTATGGCGTATCCTCTAAACATGATGGAAGAGAAAAGGTAATGGCACTCTTGCAATGATTGGATATAATTGGTATTCACTTGGTCATGATTCATGCACCCTTCTGCTGTTTTGATTTTTGGCCTTAGTGATACTAAACACTTTCTATTGGTTTTCCCATCTCATTTCACCTGTTTTTCTATTTGTTTCTTTAGATGATGAATGAACTTGACGTATTTGTTCATATAATATATATATATATATATATATATATATGAATGTCTTCTAGGAGCTTGCAGATATGCTGGAAGAGAAAAATAGGCCCCTGGGGGCAATTCAAGCTAATCATGAATTACAGATAAAGCAATTGAATATGGAACCTGAAAAGGAATGTGATAAACTTGGGAATCTGCAGATGAGCTTGCAAGGTATATTTGTACACCTTGAAGTTCCAATTATGATACTTGGAATATCATCAGTTGTCAAAGAAATGAAACATCATCTTCATTTGTAAAATTCCAGAGGAGCACAAGCTGAATGAGTCTCTTCAGGAGGAGCTTGGAGTTACTGAAATCAGAGAAGGATAAAGTAAGCTTCTAAATTGTTCAGTGTCGATTGATGTTATCATTTGTTTGGTTGCATAGCTCCCAACGCTTCTTTTATAGCACATAATTACTTTGTATGTTGAAAATTACACATAGTATTCTCTTCAATTCAGGTAGTCTTACCTTCAATTATCAACGAGGATATTGATCATGACTTGGCAAGTTTAACATGCTTTCTACTGCCTTAAATTACAATGTTCCAATTGTATAATCAATTTGCTGTACTTTTGTTTCAGTATTTTTAGCATCAATCACAGTATTTAGGGTCTTCCTTGAAATTATTGTGTTTTTCAAATGGATTCTGTGCATAATGATTGTTCAATATCAACTAATCGTTTAGTTTTTTTTTTGGTCAAACAGAAAGCAATGAAGGTAAAAGCTGGATATGTTGCATGAATCTCCATTAGAACAACCACCACCACCACCTCATAATAAATAAAGTGAAATAATTACGAGGCTGAGCTACTGTAAAAGCTCTTAATTATTTCATAGCTCTTAATTTCCTATCCCCTTTTCCATCCTTCTCATTAATTTATTTAATTTCGAATTAAATTTAGTCATATTTTTTTTTTCAAATTGTGTTCTTCAATTTATCCAATATTCTTTAATTCTTAGGCTTCTTCAATCTTAATCTAATAGTAAAATAATTCATTGCTACAACTACCTTCAACAACTTTTTGTTTTCTTAGAGGCAATAGTCAATAGAATAAAGAAAGCATATTCATTCATTGTCGAGCCAAATACACATGCACATGAAATTTGGGTGAAGATTGTGATTATGACTAATATTTTGTCACTTACTGTATACATAAGCATAACAATTAGATCTTTTACAGTCTCTTCTCACAATTAAAAATTGAAAATTAGATTATATCAAGTTTCATTTATCTCTGGAACTTAATTTAACATGTTGCTATTATAACTCAAAATAATTAACACATATAGACCACAACTACATTGATTCATATCACATCACGTTAGTAGTAGTGAGCATTAATCGGTTTTAACTGATTTAATTGACAACACTGACTTACACTATGTGAGTTATTTCATTTACTAAACTATCAATGTCGACTTGCACCGATGTTAGCACACCTCATTAATAATTCTCTCAAATTAAAGTCAATTGATAGATTAATTATTCATCAAACAAAAATCACTTTAACTAATACCGTTAAGTAATTCTAATGGATCAAAACATATTGAAAATTTAATTTTGATGAGGCCGATACCTTTTCCATGATCCAATTTAGTCCAAAAATACACTATTATTTATGTTTTTTTCATTTATCGTTCAAAATCAAGACTCATATTATACCCAAATTTAATTTATTTATTTTTTTTTTGTATGTAAGGAGTTTTTTCTTAACAAAATAATAAAATAAGTTTGAAAAAATTTGTTCATTTTTCTACGACTTATTAATATAATATTGAATTATTTATCTAAAGTAATAAAATATACTTTTGTTAAGGATTTATTTTTGAATTTTGCTCGTGATCTCGAAAACATCCGAGACTACTGTGTTGTAAGTAGGATCCGGATTACATTCATGTAACTTTGCAAGGTTTATTATAAAAAAAAAGCTTTGCAAGGTTTGTAGAAACACCATTTCCAATAACAACTTCTTTATAAAATCTTTTGTCTTTAGTGACGCAAGATCTCATGTTTAAAACCACCTGTATACGAAAATTTTCTTGATTATAAGTAGGAGCTTTGCATTGAAAATCTTGATAGAGAAACCGTCTTTGACCCTGACATTTCCTCTCTCGACCGGTTTGAAGCTATGGTGATTTGAAGCTATTTTTAGGGGTCCATAAACCTTCGCTCTTGGACTCCATTGACTCCTTTCTCTCTAACTCCGTTGGTTCCATTGACTCCGATTACTCTTTGCTCGGTTAGTTCCTTTCCCCACCATGCTCTCTCCACTCCACTTAAATGCGATTCACTTGTTTTTTCTTTTAATTGTTGAGCTTTCTTTCCTTTCTTTACTTGCTCTACTCTCCTTTTTCTTTTTGTTATTGCGGTTATTTGAAGATTTTAAGTCTTAATATTTCATAACTGAGTTGTTGAATATATGCATTTCATAATTGAAATTAGATATAAATCAGGGTTGATTGAATGGAATAATATGCATTTATTAGACATATTATGTTCTTATTATAAGAGAATGGAAAGGTGCATGCATTTTGTTTGAAGATTTGTCTCTAAAGTTTTCTATTCCGAGCTTTCTAAATGGAGATCATCTGCCCCCTCATTGGTGCCCTGCTCCGTGTCCTTTGCACCATAACGCGCCACGTAATAATATTTATTAGTTTCACATTTAAGTTTGAACTTTTTTCTATACAATTTATTTATTTAATGACAAGTATCAATTCAAACTAAATTATACTAAATAATATTTTAATTATATTTATATTATATATCTTCAGAATATATATTATTATAATAATAATATTTTAACAAAATATCATCTATGTAAATATTAAATATAAAAATATTTTAATATGTATTGAAATTATTCAATTTAGAGATAAATTATATTTTGTAAATTTTTATTAGATTATTTTAATAATTTAAGATTAAAATTATTGTTATCGACATATCAATTGATACATTTAATATAAAAAGAACTAATTTTAAAACAATAATTTATTAGATTATGTTAATTATTATAAACAATTATTCTAAAAACTCATTGAATTTCCTCGACGCTTAAAATAAATTTTGTTTTCTTTTGAGATTCTGGATTCGAGCATCCACGTCTACAGGGTGTTATGTTGTCAAAGGTTAAAAAAATATTATGAACAAATATTATATTATAATCACCCTAAATTATTTAAAAAATGGTAATTTTAAACTATTAAATGATTTTAAACAATTGATATATTTAATTATTTATAAAATGATTAATTTTTTTAAAGTCAAATTATTATAATAATGTATATAATATAAATATTTTTCTGAAAATACATAATATAAATATAAATAATATAAACTAAAATATTATTTAGTATAATTTAATTTGAATTGATATTTGTCATTAAATAAATAAATTGTATAGAAAAAAGTTCAAAACTCAAATATAAAACTAATATATATTACGTGACGCTTTATGGTGCAAAGGACGGAGCGGGGCACCAACGAGGGACAGACAATCTCCATTAGCATTATGTCCACTTATATATCTAGAAATGTTGACCTAACAAATAGACAAAAAATTAAATAAGACATGTTCAATTTGAAAGAGTTACATAATTTTTTGTATTAGTTCATAACTCAACCAAGACTTAGACGAAGTGGATGTAGCTGAACCAATGTCAAAGGGCACGAGTTTAGTCCCTCGACAATGATGAAATTTTATTGTAATGTAAGCTTTGGTGGCTGAATCAATCTTGCATGCGAGCCGCTTAGAAAATTTGATGATTAAATTAGCTGATGTTAGTAGTGAATAATCAAATTATTTTTGAGATTTATTTGAAATAATTTTTCCTATGCAGAAAAATACTGACTTCACCATTTTATCTTCGGAACAAGTAGAAGAAATCTTACACAAATTTAAAGATGAAATACATGAATACGAAAAAAGAGTGTTAAAAATAAACAAAGGTGACTTTAGAAGAGAAATCAAACATTGGAAGCTTAGTCAACTGGATAAAAAATGCAGGTGATATGTTCATGTTGGATCTCTCCTTAATTGGAGAGGTTCTAGAAATTCTATAGCTTTCTAGAGAAGTGTAGAATTTTATAGAACATTCGGAGAACTCTAGAGAAGTGTAGAACTCTCTAGAAGCTTGTGGAAGAGTGTGGAATCCTCTGGAATATTCTGGAGATGTGTGGAACCTTGTGGAGTAGTGTGGATCCTTATGGAAGAGTGTGGAAGAATATGGAAGGGAATGGAAGAGTGTAGAATTCCTTAGAGTGTGTGGAGCATTCTATATAAATAATCTCCACCCTTGGATGTAAGTAATCTCCACCATTCATTGTGGAGGTGGAGTAGTATAAATAGGGGTGAGAGACTTCATTCCTAACCATACAAGAGTTCCAAAAACATTAAGAGAGTCCACTTCTTAGAGTGAGAAACTAGAGAGTTAGAGAGCCTCTTTGAGAGAGAAGAGAGATAGCTTGGGAAGTCTTTACCCTCAAGCTTGAGTGGGCCACCAAGTGTGAGTCATTTTGTGAACACATCCTTGTAATCCTACTATTCTTTGTATAGTGGAAAAATCTCCAAATTGAAGAATTATACTCTTGTTCTCTCTTTACTATCCTTAATCTCTAAGTGCCTATCTTAACTTCACGAAGCGGGAAAGACTGTGATTCCCAACAGTTTTAAACATTCTAGAGAACATGCAGTCTCGCAACATAAGAATTGATTACAATGATTACAGTGCCGCAATTATTACTCCTAATGTGATCCATTACTGGAATGATCTCGAAATAGGGTAAGAATTAATTTATTTTATTAAAAATTTATTTATACTATTTCTTTATTTATTTTATCTTGTATGAACTAAGATAATTGTATTTTCAGCTGTTATTTAGTTTCCGTTGACGCTTCATGCACAAACAATTACTCGGGCGGTGGAGCTGTCTTACAAAATTGGGCAGAAGAAATTCTAGATCACGTGCAATTTGAATTGGATATCGACGATACATACTTAGCCAAACTTCAGACTGCATTTGCCACCTTCGATTGGGTGCTCGAATATTTTCAAAGAAAAAATATTAAAAAAAAGGCACTGCGGGTTAAGATGGATCGAAAGGATATTTTCAAAATCCTTTCTACCAAGGAATTAAGCGGAGATAAGATAAATACTAAGTTAGCTACAAAATTTCGTAAGTATTAGTAATATTCAATTTTTTATTAAAAATTATTTTATATTTTTCAATTAATAATTAATTAAAAATGCAGGGACTTTTTCCACAAAATCGAACATGGATGCATGTGAGTTTTGTTGGGCTCCCAGAAAACTCAATCAGCTTGCTTACACGAGAGCACAAAATAATAAAGATGGAAATAGAGTCGAAGATGAAAAAGAAATCCTAAAAACTTTGCATGAAACCTACCTAAATAAAATGGTTTGCGATATCCCAGGAAATTTTCCTGGATATAGAAAGATTTGAAATCTTTAGATTATCTCATTTGCTATGATTTTCCATGGTCTCTTTTGCTATGATTTTCCATTGTCTCATTTTTCTCTCTTTGTATTGTGTATGGTTCATATACACAAAATGGAAACATTTGAAATCTTTCTTTTTTGTCTTGGAGGGTTGTGCCTAATAAGATCTCCGGAATCTTAATCTTTTACTTAGGACTTCAGCAACTGTAATCCGTTGCTTAGAGTCCTTGGCTAAGAAATTCTTAATGATGTCCTTTGCACCTTTAGATATAGATGGTTATGGTTGGACTTTTATG